GAATGTTTTGCTTGCATGCATATGTGTAAGTGTATCATGTGTGCATTGTGCACAGAAGCCAGAAGAGGGTATTGGATCCTGTGGAATTGGAGTCATGGATGGTTGTTAGCTGCCATGTGGGTGCTGGGAACTGAACCCATGTCTTCTACAAGAGCAACCAATGCTCTTAATGGCTGAGCTATCTCTCCAGCTCCCTATTTGTTAGAAATTAACTGAAATAGATACTCAGGGCCAGGTGTGTGTAGTTCAAGAAAACAAAATAGGAAAATTTTGCCATAGAAGTATCAAAGACTTATGTAAGTGTTCATACAAGGCCTCTACTGAGTTGGGTCAGAGATGGTTCCCTTTCTCATTCTAGGAAGCTTTAAGCTAGTAACCTTAACCCTAGCTGCGGGTCTTAGTTCAGGCTGCTATAACAATGCACTGAGGAGCTAGGGATGTAGCTCAGATGGGAGACTGCCTGCCTAGCTTGCAAGAAGCTCTGAGTTTCATCCCCAGCACCACATAAACCAGCTGTGATAGTTCACACCTGTAATCCCAGCCCTGGAGAGGTAAAGGCAGGAGGATCAGAAGTTCATCATCTTTACTTACATGGTGTGTTTGGTCCCAGCTTGGGCTACAAGCAAACCCGGACTCAAAAACAGACAACAAAATCCCAAAACACATAGATGGAGTGGCTTATAAGTAATGTTCTTTCTTACAGCTTTAGGGGCTGGAAGTTCAAAATCAGGTGCCTATAGGGCTGGATTCTGGTGAGAGCCTTCTGTCAGCTGGCTGTCTTCTCTGTGAAAGAATGATCTGTGGCCTGTTTTGTAAGGGTTCAAAGCCAATGCAGAAAGCCTCCAAAAGCCACACCTCTACATATAATAGGACCACATCTGGGAGGGGCACATAGATATTGGGTCTATGACTCCTCCAGTCAGTGTTGTACGACATGTTGACACCTGTGGATGGGTTGTCAAGTCTTTATAGCCTGAGGTGGAGCAGCTGGGGAAAGTGCAAGTTATGTTAAAGCAATGAAGCCTGCCTGTCTCCTCACCACCAAACCTAAACAGGAAGGCACTGAAAAGCAGTCTGTCTGTACAGAAACTTCTCACAGGTCAGGTTGGCTCTGCAACCTCAGTGATTAAAGTACTTACTGAGTTTGATCCTTAGAACCCACATTTAAAAAAAAAAAAAAAAAAAGCTCAGGTTAGTGGCACTCACTTGTATTCCTGGATCCCTGGGGTTAGGTTAGCCTACTTGTTGAGCTACAGACCAATGAGAGACCCTGTCTCTAAAAATAAAATTGCTGGCTGTGGTGGCACACGCCTTTAATCCAGCACTCAGGAGGCTGAGGCAAATGGGTCTCTATGAGATCCAGGCTGGCTAGCGCAACATAGGAAGACCCAGTCTAAAAGAACACACCCACGGTTGTCCTTTGCCCACCCCAACATGCGCGCACACACATGAACACATGTACCACCACCCCAATCTCGCCCCTTTAACTTCATCACCCTCTCAAAGTCCAAATACCTCTGAAGCTGAACTGGCTGGCCCCTCAGGAAGCCTCCTGAAATGCTGGTTCTGCCCTTCCTAGTTGAAATCACTTAGCTGGTCAGCACTCAGAAGGAGGTGGGGCAGACAGATGGAGCTTCTATAGGTCACAGGAGTGTGGCTTCATTTAGCAGCACCCTTTAGTAATTCAGGAAATTGTTTATGGGACAATATTCTACCAATTGTGGAGATATTATAGAGTGTGGCAGTTAGAACACCAAAAAGGACTCAAATAGCTTTGATTGATGAAATAGAATTATATTATTCTGTTATTACATGTAGAATTAATATCCCCCTTTTTTTCCCCTTTTGAGACGGTCTCCCTATAGCCTTAGATGACCTGGAACCCACTATGCAACCAGGCTGGCCTCGATATCATAGAGCTCCACCTGCCTCTGTCTTGTGAGCGCTGGGACTGAAGGTGTTCGCCACCACACCCAGCTCTAACATTTAAGATTTATTTTTATGGGCCGGAGAGATGGATTAGCAGTTAAGAACACTGGCTACTTGTGGAGAGGACCCAGGTTCAGGTCCCAGTACCCACATGGTAGCTAACAATCTTCTGTAACTCCAATTCCCTCTTCTGGTCTCCTTGGGCATTGCATGTACATGGCACATGTACATGCATACAAGCAAAACAGTCACACATATAAAGTAAAAATAATTACATTTCTTTTAAATATTTTTTTTGGTCTTTTTTTGAGACAGGGTCTCCCTGTAGCCCCAAGCTGTGCTGGAACTCGCTATGCAGACCAGGCTGGCCTTGAACTCACAGAGATCCGCCTGCCTCTGCCTCCCAAATGCTGGAATTAAAGGTGTGTGCCACCACGCCCGGCTTATATATTTCTTATTTTTAATTACGTGTATGCATGTGTGTCTGTGTAGGGATATGTGTACAAGTGCAGTTGCCTGTGGCCAGAAGAGGGTGTCAAATCCCCTGGAGCTGGAGTTATGGGCAATTGTGAGCTGCTGGATAGGGTGCTGGGAACTGAACTCAGGTCCCCTACAACAGCAGTAAGTGCTCCTTAACTGCTGAGTCATCTCTCCAGCCCCTCAGCTAATATTTATTGAACTCTTACTCTGCCTGGCATTGCCCCTGTATTAGTCAGTTTTTCATGACCATAAAATAACTGATAATGGGTACTTATAAAGGGATTATTCAGTTGAAAGTCTAGAGTCAAGATCTTCCTTTAGTCACTGGTGAGGGTCTGATGGTTAGTGTGTGTGCAGGAGAGGGAGATCCCATTACCAGACATGAAGTGCAGGGAGTTCAGGAGGCTGGGGTCCAATAGTTCTTTCTGAGGCCATATCTCCAATGGGCCTTAGGCCCTCCCTCAGACCCCACCCATCAACCTCCCAGTTAA